ATTTCCTTGCCTTTGAAATCTGGTTAAAGGACTGTTGAGTCCGTAGTTCGTATGATGGAAGCTAATTGAAAATAATAGTTTCTCTCTAATATTTATGTTGTTTAATCTAAAGTTTGTTAGCTCCAATATATCCGGACAAGTTATATTCCCTTCCAGGAGGTTATAAAGAAATAAAAGATCATTACTAATTATCGTTTTCTCAACTGACAATAAGTTTAAATGGTTATTAAGCTTCCTCTTAGAAAGATAAGGCATATGTAACCTCCACTGACAAGTTCTTAGATACCTATTTTTTGAACTGCTTCTAAATTTAAAATATAAGTCCGGTAATGAGGTGACCAGACTGGTGAAGCATATAAGAGGATGCTGCGCACTAGTGTTAAGTAAAGGGTTCGGAATGTAGGCACAGAGAATTCCCTAGAGTTCCTGGTCACAAATCCCAATGTTTTCAGAGCTCTACTAATGATGGATCTCATGTGTAGGACAAATGTCAAAGAACTATCGAAAATCACACCTAGATCCTTGATTTCACTAACTTTCTCCAAAACAGTAGTATTGATATTATAAAGAAAATTTATAGGGTTTTTTGATCTTGTGAAGGTGATTGAAAAACATTTACGTGGATTTAAAGACATGGCATTATTTAAAGCCCAATTAATAAAATAGTTTAAATCATTCTGTAACTTCAAACAGTCAGGTAAGTTTAAGATTTCCATGAATAATTTCAGGTCATCGGCGAATAGTAGGAACTTACATTATTTAAAACCTGAAGCCACATCGTTAATAAATATATTAAATATTAATGGTCCCAAATGAGATCCCTGGGGGACACCTGAACTTACATTTATTGGAATCGAAGTAAAACTTTTAACTTTGACATATTGAACCCTGGATTGCAGGCAACTTTCTAACCATTTCACTAAGTAGTTTGGAAACCCGAATTTCATTAGTTTCCTTAAAAGCAAATCATGGTTCACCGTGTGTCTTCGAGAAGTCAGTGTAAATTGAGTCAACCTGACACCCCCTCTCGAAGGCAGAAATGATATAATGTTCGTAGAGCAGTAAAGGACCCCGCACTTTTTACATTGATTTTGGGTACTGACAGAATTTGTTAAAATTTTATTATGTTACTCTTCAGGTCATAATGGACAACTTTCTTATGGACATCAAGTTTGCAGCTCTACATGGTGAGCTGCCAGAAGGAGTCAAAACTAAGAAGTGCAGAATTAATATTTTCATATATATCTTTACCACTCTTAAGTAATTTATGTTTTATTTGTAAAACTTATGGCATGAGTTACACTTGTATGTGGCTTGTTAATGCCTACTGTCACATTTTAAAATAAATCATACATAGTGTTTAAAAAATACAAATATTAATTACAGAAATAAGGTGCATTTTCATGTATTACCATAATTATAACATTACTTCTGATCACTTATTTGTTATATTAAATACTAGATAATATTAATTAATAATACAGGGTGTGACAGAAAGACAAATAATATTACAAATATTACACTTTCTTTACATAGATTTTTAGACTTCCACTAAATTATAAATCCATATAAAAGAAACTACATTTTGAAAAACCTGTTTTATTAAATAACATTAACTCTTTACACACCTTCATCTTTCAACATCTAAAATAGTCCTTAATAAAACACTTTATACTTTATATAATGTTCGAATCGTGCGTATTCCAGGTACCACAAAACACTTGAAATATGAGCACACATGCATATAGTTCTTGAATCAGTCTTACATTTTCAGTAATATCTAGTAATGGAATTCTCTTTAATTTTATTTTATAAATAAAGTGTGCTTCACATTATTCGCAAATCTCAAATATATTGCAAAAAGCGAAGGCACGCCACATAGAAAGTTTCCTAACAAAAATAAACTACTTACTATCAAAAAAAATCCTAATAAAAAACTTTTGAAATTGCTCTTAATGACAGCCCAAAAAAGAAGAAGAAAATATACAATGTAAAATAGAATTGCTACGTTTGAATATTCATATCCGATTTTTTATCTCTCGAACGTTTATTTATCCACATCGGACGTATCTGCTCCAACTAATGTACGTAACTTGAATCACGTGATCAAAGATTCACAACATCTCAGATGCATCCGATATGGATAAACAAACGCAGCAAATGTAGTCTGAAATTGCAAAGATAAAAACGTGTTAACCCTATCATGATAATTTAGCTGTTATTTAATCTAACACTCGCCAACCTTTTACCTTATAGAATCCTTTTATAATTAATCTAATTAATAAACAAAGAAATAAAAAAAAATATGTTTTAGGCTTAAAAAATAATTTATATCAAAATAAAAATATATAGTGGTATCGAATAGATAAACAATAATTGGCAAGGATTAAATATTAAAAAACTGTAAAAGTTTTTTTTATGTTTTAATTTAACTAAAATTAACCTACTAAATCCTCAAAAATAGAATTATATTTAGAAGTGATAAGTTGTCAGCTGTACTGTGTATAAAACTCAGAATTAGAATATGTCTTCTCAGTCATTCATTCAAATCAGAGTTAGTAGAATTATTTCTACATTTAAGTAGGCTTAGAACGGGACTTGGTTAGATAAACAGAGCTATGGTTATAATACGAGCAAAACTGAATTCGTTTTAAAACTTTATACAATATTTTAGATATACCAATTTTTCGTTAAATGCGTTTTTGTAATTCTTACTTGTTTGTGTAGTTTTATCACACCCTGTATTACTTATAAAATTATCTTATATGAAATGAAATATAGAAATGGCCAGAAGTCATATTTTAACTATGGTAATACATGTAAAATGCATCATATTTCAGTAACTGATATTTCTAATTTTTTGAACACGCTGTATAATTCATTTTGCAAAGTGTAAGTAAGCATTAACAACCTATATACAAGGGCAACACATGACATAAGTTTCATGAAAAAGACAAGAAATACTAAAGAGTGGTGGAGATATATTTGAAAATATTAATTATGTACTCCTTACTTTTGAATCGTTCTAACAAATCACCCTGTAGAGCTGCCTACTTGAGGTCCATAAGAAAGTTGCCCCTAATTACCTGAAAAATAACACTAAAATTTGAACAAATTCTGCCAGTACCCAAAATCAATGTAAAAAGTGCGGGGTCCTTTGTATTAGTTGACTTACCTCCCATAAACCCATGCTGTTGTTCAATCAAAATGTTTTTGCAATGCCATAACAAAGGTTTATATAACAATAATTCTAATAATTTAGATATTGCAGAAAGTAAAACTACAGGGCAATAGTTAAATATGTCATCTTTCACGCAAGTCACCCGAGTGAAAAATGGCCATAAATTGCGAGTGTAATACTATACTTTGTCCACGGCCATTATGATTTCTTTATTAAATAAAAGTGTAGAACGGTTTGTAGAAAGTTTTTATGACGGTGCTGTGAAATTTGACTAAAATTTAAATATGCTATAATTTGTTTTTGAAGGGTGGACAAACAAAAATTGGGCCTAGACAAACGAAAATAATGTGTAAACAAACGAAAATAATGTGTAGACAAACGATTCTCGTATTTAATTTATATGAAATTTATTAGGGTTGTCCCTAAAGACCATCTCCATTATTTTTTTATATCTCGGTTTTGGGGGGTGGACAAACGAAAATTTTGGTTGGATAAACGTGGACAATCGAATGCCACTTTGAAATTATCAAAAAGCTTTTACGGCGGTGCTGTGAAATTTGGCTCAAATTTTTAAATTTGCTATAACTTTTTCTTGAAGGGTGGACAAACGAAAATTTTTATTGGACAATCGTGGATAAACGAATGGCAATTAATTTTTATAAAAATTCGGATTTGGCGGTGCTAACTTCACGGACCTCAATAAAATAACAGTAACTCAATTTAAAAACCCTCATTTATTTATATGATATAAAACAATTTTTATTTTGAGGTTACTCTTGAGGCCCCTAAGAAAGGGTGTGGGTAACCCTCATTGCTGTACTGTATCTGACCTCACCTTGCACCCTGTAATGAATCATATCGAAAATAATAATTACCTGCCAAAAAAGGGTGGGGGAAGGAGGTCGGCCTACTTTTCAAATTTCTTTAATTTTTCAATTATTTATGCAACTAATATACCAATATATCATAATTCCCGAAACCGATTCGGCGAAGATGGCCGATATACGGATATCGGTCGATCCCGTTTTTAAAAAATTTCGTTACGCAATTTCTGGGCGAAATATAACGAAAAAAATTCGTACCAACCCAGAAGACGAAATTCCCGATATAATAACATGCAAGTTTGGTTTTTATTGGTCTTTAACAGCAGTGGTGTTCGAACTCATTGTAAGTAGTGGTGCTCGAACTCATTGTAACGTCCATTTTAGACCCTACAATAGTATTATTAAAGAGAAGTTCTAAAATGGTGTTATAAGGATTCTTTAATGGTTGCAAAAAATGTTCTTAGTACTATTCTACAATAGTGATCCGTAATACTTATAGAATCTTTTATAGGATAAAAGTATTTTAAAAACTGCGCCTATTTTCGCTCTAGAGTTGTTGTATTATTATTATTTTTAGTGGTAGAACAAAACTTGTTCTATAATATTTGTTGTTTAAACATTCTAAGAGCAATTCTATTACAATATTTTATAGGATGAAAGTATTCTAAAAATGTCCCAGTTGTTGAATTATTATTTTTAAAGTATTCTGAGAACAAAACTTGTTGTGTATACGTTTTTAGGACAATTTATAGTACTCAAAATTGTTACTTGGTTTACTCTTTGAATGTGCTATATAATGGCAATTTCTCGGGTTTTTTGTAATAGAGAAATATTAATACAAAGCGCTAATCGAAAATTGAAAGTAACCATTTAAAAAATATATATAAATATACGATTTTAAGGAACAGGAACCGGACGCCAAAACTTCAATGGGTAATAAACCGTCAACTATAAACGTGAACAAACCGATCTAACCCCACGAATTTTTGTTTCAGATATCAAGTGCTACAAGGTGTCGCAACTGTTCGAGAGGGTAGGTTCGATGGACGAACGAAGGAGGTGCGTGCTGTGCGGCAAAATCGTTAGCAATACGCGCAACCACTATTACGTGCATTTTCCGGGCCAGTACTCGTGCACGCATTGTCCTGCCGTGTACACTCGGAGCGATACTCTTTTGTTGCACATGCGGACGAAGCATCCTGCCGTTGCTTAGCTAATGCTGCATTGTTAGGTTAGGAAATTTTCCAAGTATAAATATTAAATCCGTTTACTCAGGCGAAATCATTAGATATTTACTGTTACAGATGGCACTAGAGAGATCATTAATAAATAAATTGAATAGTGACGGGCCCAAGTGAGGTCCCTGTGGTACACGTGATGAAACTATAATTGCTTCCGATTCGCAGTTGATATATTTAATTCTGTTTCGCAAATAACTATCAATCCAATTTAGTATAATATCTTTAAACCCATATCCCTTTAATTCAACAATTAGTGCCATGGTGGACGCTGTTAAATACTTTTAAAAACTCAGTACAAACAGAGTCAACCTGACACCTCGATTCTAGGAATTATGCGATGAAATAATTGGAATTAAGTAAATTTGTACAAGTAGACATACCTTGACAAAACCTATGTTGCTGGTCTGGAATTTTAAATACTCATAATTCAACATATTAGGAATTTCAGATGTACATATATTTATATGTACTGCACGGTAATTGTCGACTTTTTCTTTTGGTCCAAATTTGTAGATAGGTCTTGAAAAACTGCTCTTCCAATAATCGGGAAATTCATCACAAGAAAGAGATAAATTAAAAGGAAACAACATATATTTATTATTATCATTTACCACTTACTTGAAAATACGAATAAAATACCTTATTTTACAGGTTTACTTTAAGGTATTGAAAATAAAAACCTAAAGGAACCATTTTTCAAGTTGATTGCATTCTCAATTTTCTCCACTATCTTTTGGAGTTTATCATCGCTAGGATTAAAGCATTATCTTGAATATAATTACACTACTGTAGCTAAATAGAATTCTCTGAATTTTTTTTTACCAAACATTTTATATTATATTTATTAGATCTTAAACCTATGCACGCATCACTGTTTAGTAATTTTTGAAAAATATACGAGGTAAACGTATAAACAAAGCCAATAAAATTTCGATAAGTTTATCAGGATTTGTTGGACTTTCTTTCTTAATGATTTGAAGTTTTTTTAAGTTAAACGTAAAATAGGTTTACTTTAAGGTAGTTTACTCGTAAAACGGCTTTCCTTAAGAATTCAATAACATGGAAATAATAAGGATAATGAAAGTATCTTTTACGTAACTAAAAGAAAAAAATGAAATTTTTACCGCTTGTGAAACGAGATATTAACAACCAAAATGTGCATAATTAACACTCCTCTTAAAGTCTGTCATGTACACAAGCAATGCATTTATTTCAAGATATCTCGAAAACGGTTCTTACCATATTTTTTAAAAACTAATGTAAAAAAAACGCTGAATTTTTGACCGTCTTGGTAAAAATATATAGATTTTTAAATTATTTTTTTTTTAAGCAGTCGACGCGTTGTTGCCTAAAATGATTACAACTTGGCAACATTGTAATGGCTACACTTAACTCGCGGTAAGTGAATAACACTCGATCAGCTATGAGGTTGTTATAACTTCTCGACGTGTTCTTGAAAAATTAATTCGTCCACTGTATTTGAGAACTGGAATCAGCGGTTCTGTTTGAATCAAAACAAACCCTTAAAATTAGTATGAGGAAGTCACAAATTTCTATAGCCCACCATTCATATATTTGCGACGTTGTCGGATGGATTTTATTTGAAATTAATTATAACGTATCCGTATATACGAGGGTGGATCAAAAAGTACCCGTGTTAGAAAGGAAGAGGCAAGTTTTTCAAGAAAATTTATTTCCTTTTAGTGCTATACACTTTTCCCAACATTTCTGCCATTTATTTAACCCCTCCAAAAAAATATGATTTCTCGAACTCCGCAAAATACGCTTCAGTCTCGACGATAACCTTCTGTTAGAGCTGAATTTTTTCCCCCCGAGCCACGTTTTCATGTTGGGGAATAGAAAAAAGTCGCATGGAGCCAAGTTGGGCGAGTACGGTGGGTGCGGCAGCAATTCGTACTGCAGTTCTTGCAATTTGTCCGCGACAATTCTCGATGAATGTGCTGGTGCATTATCGTGGTGAAACAGGACTTTTTTCTTAGCCAAATAAGGCCGTGTCTCCTTCAATTTTGCATCGAATCGGTCCAATAATTCACTATAGTATTGCCCTGTGATCTTACTTCCTTTCTGCAAAAAGTCGATGAGGATTATTCCCTTGGAATCCCAAAAAATCGTGGCCATGATCTTTCCGGTCGATGGGACCGTCTTTGCTTTCTTCGCAGATTCACCCCGAAAAATCCATTGCTTCGACTGTCGTTTGGTCTCTGGCGTATAATAGTGTATCCAGGTTTCATCAACGGTGACGACTCGACGCAAAAACTCCTGCGAATTTCGATTAAAGAGCTCCAAACACTTCGACGTTGACAGCCGTATCCGCTTGTTGTCCACCGTAAGCAATCGTGGCACCCATCGGGCCGATACCTTTCTCATGTTTAACTTTGCATGCAAAATATTAATTACCGTTCCGTATGATACGCCTACGACCTCTGCTACTTCTCGCACTTTCGTTCGGCGATCTACGACAATCATGTATTGGACCTTTTTAACGATTTCCTCGGTAACAACGTCTGCCGGGCGACCTGGTCGCTCCTCATCAAAAACAGATGTACGACCACGTTTAAATTCGTTGAACCAATATCTTACGGTTGTCATAGATGGTGAAGGGTCCCCATAGAGAGAATCCAACTTTGCTTTTATTTTATCGCATGTTTTTCCATCCAAAAATAAAAAGCAAATTACGGATCGATATTGTTCTTTTTCCATTTTATCGATTAATGCGAAACACGTATGGTACAAGTGGCTGCCAAATAAAAACCAACCTATGAGTCAGTTTGAAATTTAGTATGGTGTGTGACAGATGACAGTACACGACAGTAATGCCAACTTCCCTCAGCAACGCCACCTGCCTTTAAACACGAGTACTTATTGATCCACCCTCGTATAAGCTTACATGTGTTGTGTACAGTTGCTTACAAAAATAAAAATTGAGAATCTTGAACTTTTGGTATTCATAATTAGGCGATATTTTTATATACGACTGTCGCGAGTGAACTACCTTAAAGAAAATTTAAATCATCCTAAAACTAAGTTTTAGAACACAAAATTTTTCAACGTGCTGTAACCCAAAAATCAAAAATTGACATGACACTACCTAAATATCTTAGTTTTTACTCATACATGTTGATGTTCAAATAGATTTACCAATATATATAAACTGCAGTTACCATTTTAATGATGACCACAATTTATATTTCAATAATTGAAACTAAAGATTTTTATAAAACATCGAAATACCTAATGTCAATTAATACAATTTATTTGTCTAATGTCCCTAAAGAAACCCAATTTGAAATATCCATACTTTACAGTACTTCAAAAGAAGTAAAAAAATATTTATACTTGGAAGATAAACGTTATTTCTTGCAAAAAACATCGTATACTTCAAGACTTGTTAATTTTATATACTTAAACATATGTTTTATCCATAAAAAATGACCGACTAGAAGTATAATAGTATAAGAAACTATGAACGAAAGCATCAACATATTTATTTATAAAAAGTTATTTTTCCCCCGTTACATTTAAAAGTAAAAATAAAATATGAAAATATCGAACAATTTGTACAAAGTAACAATCATGTATTCTTTGTTTATTTGCCAAAGAGTAATGAAACAAAAAAGAAGTAATAAACATTAATCTAATAAAAACCAGTACAAATGTTTAATGTGGTAAATATTATTCAGTGATATGGTAACCTAAGGATGAGACATGCGATAGACCGCAGCAGGATCGGTCCGCCATTTTGCTTTGCTACATTTGTCAAATTTGTAGGTTATATTTGTAGTGTCTATTGTAATTATATTTAATTTTCATTTATCTCTGAAAGACTTTCGAGTGTTGAAAACTTTATAATTAAAAAATCGACTGGAATAACGTTCAAAAATGATAAATATTGTACAGGATAGTATTTTGTCCGATTTGTAAGTATTATGTAAAATGGTGCTTTTAAAAATGCAAAAAATATCATCGATCAAATGTTGGACCTATCTATACTTGAATAATACTTTTATTATTTACACATTTTCTAAAAATCCTGAAAAACGAAATGCGTGGCTATAGTTTGTCAACAGGGCTAACTGGGAACCTTCCAAATATAGCATTGTTCCAAACATGCCTTGTTCGATTGAGGGATAATGCTATTTCTACACTTGGTGGATTTCAATTTACAATTATTGACGATGCGCTGAAAAGTTCCTAGCTTTACATATGAATAATCGTGTTAGCTAATATGAAATAAATTTTATTTAACGTACTTCCTCCTCAAGCGCTAACACATTTAGCACAACGCTTCTCCAGTTTTCTTAACGCCTCCAAATAACTGTCGAGTTGGTTGCACCCAAAAAAAAGGATCCGTTGCTGTGATGACTTTCTCATTATAGACAACTTGGTACCTTACAGCTGTGGTAGTCCGAAGGGACTAGAATTTAGTCAATTTGATGAGCTGTATGGATAGATGCATTGCCTTACAAAAACACCTGCTTTGTTAATGCGTGGAATGAGAACAGTTAAAACTTCTGCATTATTGTTTACACGATTCTCATTACTCGATTAGCACCAAAGCCAGGAACTTTTCAGCATATCCTCGTGTAATAATAAAGTTCCCAAGTATAAATTAGTATCGGACAAACCGCATTATGGGGATGATAATGATGAACTTATAACTTCCAAAAAAAAAAATTATGTAGTATGGAAATTGATTTGTCCTGTTTGTACACAAATATAATGTCTTATCCTTATGTTGACATAACACTGGTAATATTAGAGTGTATTGGGTAACCTAAAATGACAAAACAGATTTGTAATTTCCATAGAGATAGAATGAAGTAGAAATGACATAAGCACTATTTTGCAATATTATGACAGATAAACGCACTTCGAGTGATGGGAAATTGTAATCAAAATGGCGACTTAGAGTCGTACTTTGATTTATTTGAAGTCAATAATTTTATATTTGAGGAATGAAAATGCATTTATTCTCATTAAAACTGACTACTTCAACTAGCTCGTGTTTGACATATGACGTAAAAGTGTAATGCAAAGGTGCGTCATAGCATATTCTCTTTATTCTATCTCAATGGTAATTTCAAACCCTCTAGATATGCTTATAACCTCAAATTATATCGAATTTCAAATTTGAATAACTCGCATAGCTATGCCAAATTAAAATATTTAATACCACTGAAAATACACCAAATGTCCCTGTCAAATTATTATAACCTGTGATTCGACTGATATTAGTTACTGTGAAATGCTCAGACGAACTTGATTTTACAAACTGACAGTAATGACGGTTCATCATAAATATGCTGTTCAGATTTTTTTTATTCATTGGTGTGACTATGAAATACAAATCAACAACACTAATACTGTCAGAAGTTCTTCGTCGCTCAAAAAAAAAAAAAAAATACTGTAGCGCGGTGGTTCCTAACCTTTTCGAGTCGCTACCCCATTTTACAATTTTGAAGTAACCTGCGATCTCACCACATTTGTATAAAAAATATTTAATAGAATAAAAATAAGTTTTTCAGAATACGAGTATAACCCTTACATTTATATTGAATTAATATTTAATGCAACTGTTGTACTCGAATTTGGGTGACCTAGCTTCACAAAATTCATTGCAGAATGTTTGTTAAAGCCAACTTCATGTCATCCTCAACAACTAGTCTTTGTTTTAATGTGAAGAATCGTTAAAAAACCACTCCGATTTTTCTTCTCTCAGCACGGGCAAATACCGCTGAAATTTCTTTTCACAGGATTCAAGATGCCCAATAATCTCTTCCTTCACATTATCATCCAGATTCTTGGAGAGGAGCTGGAATAGTCTCACTGGCAAGTTCAGTACAGTACATTTTTGAAAACCCGACTGTACAAACCCTACATACGTTTTGTCAAAGAATGTATTTATCTTCTTCATGATATCTTTACCATTTGTAGAAGTCACAAGTCCACTAAACACTGGAACTCTTCTTTGATGTCATCTGAATGAATATAATATTTCGCAGTTGGGAACTTATATTCTTTGATCTTGCAGATAAATGAATGTTAAAAACTTGCATGTAAAATTTTAGTAAAAAAAATTACTAGTCAAAATAACGTCGAGACAAAATACTTTGGGACCCACTTGAGGGGGTCGCGCTTCACAGATTGGGAACCACTACTGTAGGGTGATCTTTAAAAATAAATATACTCGTTTGTTTTTTGAGAAAATTTAAATTTTAAGAGCTCAAATAGGGCATCATTTAATTTATATCATGATTCTTCATATCACCTTGTATAATATATTTTATAATACGCTAAATTGGTGATAACATAATTTTGGTTCCACTGACAATTACAATGACATAATTTTTGAGGGCGTTATGTTCGTTTTGTTTACCTAAATTATATTGTTTTTGAACTTATATAAATATATTCCTAGAGTAAGTATATGAAATGCAAGAAGTACAAAATCATGTAGGAACCAATTAGCCAGTAATTACCCACAAATAGTCGGCATTCGCTCGGCCTAACACCGATATGTACGGGAAGCCGAGTAGGGGAGGTCCGCCAACTTGTAGAGAGTGTCATTGATATAGAAATGCAAGTATTACCACTTTTACCTAAAAAGTTTTGTACAATTCAAGAAAAAAATTATCGAAAGAAAAATTGTTTTTTGGTCACTGTACCAACTAGTATGATACAGTGGAAAAATTTTAAAGGTACAGTGGACAAACAACAACTTCTCCGAAAAATATTTTTTATTGGGTCAAAACAAAACAGAAACATAGAATTCATGAAGCAGATCATAAATTCCGTCTAATATAGATTGTAATTAGTCAGGTCCGTGGAAAAGTGATGGTACCGTTAAACTCTTGCGGTGCCTCCCGTCGATACCGGAATTGGTAATGACATCACGATATCTTCTGGTGGGACAGTTGACTGATCTGGGACATCAGGAAAAGAAAACTTGTTTTCTCGTCTTTTTCTTAGAAAGCTGACACTATATTCTTTAAACCTGTTATCTATGGCCGTAACTTGGCCCACACAATATTTAACTTGTTTTTTGTAGCAAATTTTACTAAGATAAAGCTTCCAACCAAAATTTCACCATCGCAATTCTGATTTCTAGGTTCTTCAGTACAATTAATATCGTCAGAGTCCGTAAGATTCAAGTTTTCGGTATTAGATACTGTATCGCTACTATCGTCATTCCTTGGAACTAATGTTTTTGTATTGGCCGTCTCTGTATTAAAGCTGAAAATGTTTCTTGTAGTTGACTTGCTTTTGTTTAAATTTTGTTTCCTGGATTCCTTTAAGTGCTAATGGATTTCATTCAATATCGGAGTGCTGGTCAATATTTCCGTAGTTTTTTTTGTCTTTTTTATCCCATTTTTTTAATCTGATTAGTTTTTGGGTATGGCCTTAAGGCCTCGGGACTAAAAACTTTTTGGTTCTGAAAATCTCTACAGCTTGGGCCCACTTCTTATAGTAGGCTATTTTGTTTTTGTGGTATAACTTTGGCAGTGTCTTGCTTTGAAAAGGTAGCTTTCCAGTTAAAAATTCATAACACAGAACACCTACACACCAATTACTCTTTGCCTTCAATCATTTCTGGAGGTAAATAGTATAAAGTACCACAAAAAGTATCTCGTGACGAATTGCGGCTGCTTTTACAGAAAGACCATGTTCCTTTATACTACAAAGAGCATTTCTCATGGTCTCTGGAGGAATTTTTCCAATTCAACCAGGTCTTTTCGTCTTCGGCCGTGGCATTTTTTCTTTCTGAAATAAAAAAAAAAAAAAACATATCGGGAACAGTGGTCACTACTTCTATTCTTTAAAAGCAGTGGCCACTGTTGCCAATCAGTTTGTGACAGAGAGAGAAGAAAATACACTTTACCTAACCACAAAAAAAAATTTGCACTTTAGCGTCATCATACGCTTTATCTAAGTCAAGATAAACATAGGGAATACAAATAACAGTAGTGTACTTACCAATAACGGATATATACACCGAAAAACCAGCGAAATATGTAACTTTTTACGTTAGAAATACGCATAAACTAAGCGCTGCTGCGAATGGCGATATACCTAATGAAAATCCGGTTGAAATATTCAAAACAAGTCATGATTTTAACCCCGCATACGAGGGGGCGCTACTACTAGACATCACATTGCAATAATATCAACGGGTGGCCACTGTACTTGGTATGGCCACTGTTGGCGGACGTCCCCTACTCGGATTGCCCTTGTCGGGGTTTCTTCTGAGCCGAGAAGACCGTATCATTTAACGTAATTTAGAAGTAGAAACCGCATATGGTCCATATTTGGCTTTCTAGACATGGGAGCCGAACGCGGTGAATATTTGGCTAGCTGGGCATGGGAGACATATTTACGGGTCGAATTATATATAGATATATGAACGTGGCTACAATTTAGTGGGCTGTCGACATTCGGATGGGCGGACATGCCCTACCTATATGCCGAAGCTACACCCGTATATCGGGCCGAGTCCGACATCCGGCAAGCCTCCTTCGGCCCAGTTACGGTGCCGATTAACTGTGTTCATTCTGTAGATACCTTCAAACTACTTTTTATGACCTGCAAATAATATTAAATAAAAACATTAAAAACGTATATATATGTCAAATATTGTTAGAAGTATTATATGTTTATAACTGTCACTGGAACCAAAATTACCTCACACTTTTATGGCGTATAAAAATATAAAATATAAAAACAGTGAAATATGTCAATTTTTATGCATTTAAATAAAACCTGAACAGCACTATAGTGCCATATTGTCAAATATTAATGCTAGTCAAAGTTGTCGAAAAATAACGTTGCTGTCAATTTGTAAGTAATTAGTTATAAATAAATTTAAAAAAAAAATCCACGAAAAGACTACGTTTACACAAAAGAATATATTTAAATTTGAGTTAACGATTGATAGCTTCAGGTGAGAGAATTATTCAAAGTCAATATCGCGAATTATATCAGGCAGCTCTTCCAAAAAAAACGTAATAAAATTTGCGATTTGTAACTACACTGCTCAAAACATGACAAATGTGGTTAATTGCTGTCTCTGCTATTAACTTCTTTTATTTCTCTGAATTTCTTTGCTTTGATTGCCAAGTTGTCTGTATTTCCTAATATCTGGTTGTTTTTTTATATTGCTTTCTTCCGGAGTTTAATAACTCTTAATATTTTCTAATTAAACCCACTTAGTATATCCCCATTATTAGCTCTATAATATATTCACTACGCTCCAATTTCATTTGTTGTTTTTTTTAACTTTTCTATTATTTATTTCTATTTCAACTCTTATGGATTCCTCCATTGCATCGCCATTCTAGGATAATGCTTTTAATAGCGCCCCCAAGACGTCATGAAAATTTTATTTTTATGACATTTGTTTTGACCAGTGTATTTTCGAAAAGATCCATTGATTTCTGAATGAGTTCTAAATAAAGAAATAAATTTTTTTAACTATTTTTCTATGTTATAGATTATTATTTGTTGGCTCAAAATTATACATTTATACTCAATAAATATTTATTATTGTGTAATATTTTCTATTGTAAACGTAGTTATGTTGGTATTAGTATCTAATATATTTTTGCTAGTTCAAATTTCAACTAGGGTTTTTTGAACGATATCTGCTATAAAATACTGAACTAGTCATTTCATATTTAGCCAAAGACATTTTGCCAAATTATATTGTAAACTAGTCAACTTCTTAGAGAGAAAAAAAACATTTATTTACATTATTATATTATTAAACTTTTATGTATAAATACATTTGTAAATATACTTACGAAATAATTGAAGCGAGTGAGAACTGATCAATTTTCTTGTAATTTTTAGACTTGAAAGTGTACATAATGTATTTTTAATCTATATTAGTGATTTTAATTATTTAAATGGAATTTGATATGTATAATGTTTTATTGTTGACATTATTTTAATTGCTTATTTACTATTTTCCACTTTTTTGCCATTTAATCTAATCTATACCTATATTTTTTGACCGTTTATTAGATTCCTATTATTTTATTGTCTTTATTTTTAAGTTTTTTATTGATATCACATTTTCATAATAAATTCCATTTAAAAGTACATCGTTACAAAGTTATTTCTTTTAGAGATTTTTTTTATTATTTTTAATTTTATTGTGCAATTATTTCAACGTTTTGTGATGTTAGAAACTAATTTGGTTCTTTATATATTTTTTTTAATCGTTGTATTTACTAAATATTTAAAGAAATATAACCAGGGTACCTAAATATTTATCTTTAAGTATTATTTATTTTATTCGTGTAATATAAAGTAAAAAAAAGATAATAAAGTACGCCATGGAAAAAATCAAGCATGTTGGAGTTTAAATAAAAAAATTTAAATGGCAGTTTGGCATGTAGTTATCACATGACTCGTATCTCTGTATTTACCTTTCATGGTACACTTCAGAATCTTTTTTTTGTTGATCGAACGTTAGTTTCATCTAATTTTTAATAAAACTAAATGTTTCTATTTCTTGTTTTTATTTCAATATTCCATCACATGAATTTTACAGGCAGACAAATACATTTTTGCTTCTAATTTCTTTATTTATATCTTGGATAAGGTTATACAGGGTATTAGTATATTCGACCGACAACGCTCTACCCCAGAGAGCTCTCGTTAATTGATGAATTTTGATATAGGAACATGAACCGTTACAGGCAGTGGCGGAGAGAGGGGGAGGTTTAAGGGTTGAACCCTCCCGACCCAGACCCAGATGTGAACTTAAACGATTTTGAAATTGAATTGAATTTTTCCAAACTAGTTGCATATTGTTCAGCATTATGCAACTTGTTGCGTAAAGTAGATCATTTTGACACTTGATGCGATTACAAAAAATGTCACTTTATATGTCAAAATTAGAAAAATACATTAATTTTAATTTATTTGTTATGAAAAATATAAAGGTTCAAGAAGAAGTACCATCTCTCTTTTCTCATATACATACATAATATCGCCTGGTGAGAACAATAGTGACGAAACTCAAAAATCAAGAATTTTGCGTTAAGGCCACCCATTGACGTCTAAATCTGCCTCCTTTTATATGCAAGAGCGGTGTTAATTTATTTCACTTGCTTATTTCTAGAGAGCAGCGCATGTCTTTACGGTAAGGATAAAATGGCCCGGTACTTGATGTATTAGAGACATCTCAGTACGGAAACAAAAAAAAAACAATGAAAAATAATAGGTACCTACTTCTTTTAGATCAGTCTGAATCAGATAATTCAAAATCGTAGTGTGTTTGGCATATGCATGTTGTTTTTATGATTATCTTGATGGAGCCAACCTACAGAAGTGGATGCTTATTACGCTGCTTTTACTGCAGAAAATTTACTAGAGAAAATATTCTTTAACAATTTGCTGAAGAATGAGGCAAACTTAATAAATTAAGAACAAAATTTGCTAGAGACAAAAACAGTGGATCTACGTAAAAACAGTAGGTCTGGCAACGCTGATCGTTCCTTCGAATGGTTATCCTGCAAGTGTCTCGCCACCTGTCTCCAAGCTTCCGAAATGTACGGAGCGTAACATTTATGCATCTGTCGTCTTTGGGGTCGTCTCGGTGTTCTCCTGTCTCCTGACGCGCCTACCGAAATGGTACCTTTATACTAGTTACTTTAAATAATTAAAAGCAAATTATCAAATATTACCCCATTGTTCAGAAGTATTAGCAAAATACTTAGGTAATTTGAATTAAAACATATGCCATATTTTAAGGCTATTTTGATACCCTATTCAAACATTTTTGGCCCCTCTTTTTTTATAAAAACCGCACCATTAAAAAACTGCTTTTATAACTGATAGTCCAAAGAAAGGCACATTCGAAAAGAATGTTAAAGAAAAAAATTCAAGTAAATAAATATTACTGAGGAAGGCACTGATTAGTGCCGAAAGCTATATTAAATAAACTAAAAATACATGACTTTCATTTAAAGTACTTCTATCCAGATTCAATCTACAGGCACCTAATAACCCAAGAACCTACCAAAAATATTAAAAAATAAGGTGAAAGAACTAAAATAAAAAGTAAGCAGATACCCTGACTTCTTTTTTAAAGTAATAATGTAATAGATATTAACTTTGAAATCAAGGACGTATTGATATTTATAACAGAAATATCGTGCTCAAAGATAAGAAAAATAAACTAGTTACAAACGATGTGTAATGATGGAAACACAAAGAATATTAATTTGGCGAAATGATTACTTCGAAAAAGTTAAAGATTTTCGAAATCCAAGTAAAACAATTTATAATTTGGACGAGAAAGAATTGTTTGTAAATATACTTGAATTTGAAAGAACACAAATACAATGAATAATAAAATTGTGAATGGTCTAAGCTCCGAAGTAAAGTCGACCTTTCACCCATCTGTTTAATGGATGAATGTTTCTTTATATTAAATAAAATATGTTTTATAAATATACTGCAACTGGGTTGCCTAAGAAAATATGGTCCACTATTTATTTTCTTAAAGTAAAAAAAAACGACACCCTCTGTAAAGTAATCCCCAGATGCTTCGACTATGCCCAAACTTTAATCGGCTTACCACAGGATAAATTAAAAATGTTTAAAATTTGGTGTTTTTCTCTTCATCCGTTTTTGAGTTATCTTCAAAATTCGAAATTGTACTTTTCCTCAAATATCTCGAATAATAGAGAATGACATCACAAGAAACTTTTAACATGATACCTATTCTTTTTTACTTTCCTATCTGTATACAGATATAAGGAAAGTATAGGAATCATGATTTTTTTCGACGGATTTTTACGTTTTGAGGTCCCCTGAATCCGTTTTGACTATTTTCGCGATGATGTCTGTCTGTCTGTCTGTCTGTGTGTGTGTGTGTGTGTCTGTGTGTGTGTGTGTCTGTATAACGCATAACTCATGAACCGATACACAAAAAAACACCAAATTTTAAACTTAAGCTTTGTTTCAGCGTCCAATGAGCTGATTAGATTTTGGGCAGAGTCGGAACATCTGGGGGGGTACTTTATAGGTGGTCATTTTTATATTTTATGGAATATATCTGTTATTTACGTTTGGAGAAGAAAATTCTTCAAATAAAAGTTACTTCTAATATAATTATATATAATTTTTGTTTTATGCAAAATTTTCCTAAAATGGTCCGTATTCGAGAAATTTGAGAAAATGTAAAAAAAATAATTTTTTATAAAAATTGTTCAAATAAAAGTTGTTTGTAATATAATTTTCTATAATTTTTGTCCTATACATAATTTCTCTAAAATGGACCGTATTCGAGATATTTGAGAAAATGTGTAAATTTCGAAATTTGAAGAAAACTCAAAAACGGATAAAGGAAAAAACATTAAATTTTAAACTTAAGGTTTATTTCGGTCTGACGTGAAATGATTAGATTTTGGACAAAGTCGGAACATCTGGGGGGGTACTTTATGGGAGGCCGTTTTTATATTTTATGGAATATGTCTGTTATTTATGTTTGGAGAAGAAAATTGTTCAAATAAAAGTTACTTCTAATATTATTATCTATAATTTTTGTTCTATGTCAAAATTTCCTGAAATGGTCCGTATTCGAGAAATTTGACAAAATGTGCAAAATTCTGATTTTTATGAAAATTGTTGAACTAAAAGTTGTTTGCGATATCGATTTCTATAATTTTTGTTTATATATGATTTTTCTAAAATGGACCGTAATGGAAAAGTGCTAAATTTAAATTTTTCTGTATTTTCGTTTTCAATGAATATCTATAGAAAAATGTTTCGAGGTAGATGTATGTGGAAAATGTATATATTTAGTTTATCCTCTAAACATTTATAGAGATGCTGCAATAGGTTGTACAAAATAACCGGAAAATGCCTATAATAACTAGATAGGAAAGTCATGTGTTGGACACATCAGATTTTTTAGTATTCTTTTTTTAGAAAGGAAAGTAAAAAATGGCCGTGACCGTATTTTCTTAGACAACCCATTTGCGGTATATTTAAAAACATATTTTATTTAATAAAAAAAACTTTCATCCATTAAACAGATGGGTGAAGGGCACCTTACTTACAGCTCCTGAACTGGAAGGTTTCTTGCTGAATATGGCAATTTATTTATGTCAAAATTTAAACAAAAATGATAAAATTGTCAAAGTATCGACAACTGTCACAGACTACTTACTAAAAAATGCATTAAAAAAGAAAAATCAATTTAATTAAGTGCACGAAGTCAGTTGTAAAAAAATATCTTTATCTTTGATTTTCGTAATAATAAAAACGTCTTCAAATCTTTTATGTAGTCATTTTGGGGCAGGTAAGTATTATAAGTATTATGTAAGCAAACTTTTGATAATTTTGAATCCCCTCGCCCAAATTAAGACGTAAGAACTTTTTCAAAATTTTTATTAAGTATCAATAATTAAAATTTAAACAACTAAATTATTTTTAAGATTTTTATCTCACGTAGATTTATAATATCGTTCTCGCTTCTTTCGTCAGCAAAATTAAGAACACCCCTTTTTGAAGTATAATCTATCAAAAAATTAGGCGTTACGATAGTTATTGGGGAATCTAAGGAAAAATAGCTCATCAAAATAAATAATTTAAGTAACTGTCCAGAAACCTATGGAATACCCTGTATATAGGTATTTTCCCTCTTCCAAATGAACACCTACATTATTTAGTACTCGTCAGCAGTGTTGCCAGTCTAGTACAATTTGTACTAGATCTAGTACATTATCTAAGTATCTGGTACTCTAGTACACTCGAAGCAAAATCTAATACTTTTTCGTTTTTCAGTGCA